CTTACGCACTTCCTTGATACCCGATATTATAAGATTAGAAGCTCTTCCCGAAGTTATTAAACTTGCATCCCCTACTGATTTGCTACTACCATCCTTCATTTGACATCTTATTTGATGGTGCTCAAGTCTTCTTTTAACTCCTTCTAAGATAGCTCTTTCTCGTTGACTAAAGATAGCTACTGGGTGAACTCTATAACCTATAGGCATTGTTGGATCTTTCTTAAACAGTATTTGGAAAGATCCGTCTGTTTCAAAAAAACCAACTAGGTACTCCAAACTTAAACAAAAGGGGCCCAAGTTTTCTATTTTTCGGGTGTCTCTATTTGATTTGCTACCTCGCTCGATTGCGATGCAGCAGCTTGCCTTACCATAGAAGAATATGCACTGTCAACTGCTGCGCAGCCTATCTTCTTCCTTAATTTCTGAAATTCAAAATTCTCTATTTTAGTTCTCATATTTGCTTTCCTTTTTTTGTAAGCGCCGGCGTATTAGCTATTTAGCTCTCCTCTTTCGAGTCAGTCGTTACGGGGTTTTTGCTTCTCAGCAAAGAACTTCCCACGGCATTACCTTTATTCCGCTAAGGAATAAAGACTTTCGCCGTTATGAGCCGGATTTTTCTGGAACATCACTATTCCAGGCGGCAAAACGTTTTTGAAATACCGCTGCTGCTGGCACGTAGTTCATGTATTTCTTTGGTTCACACCAAAGCATAGACTATACCATACTCTTGCTTGGCAGCAAGAGCCTCGGCGTCTTATAGCAAGTTTTGCTATCTTGTACTTTGGAATCTGCAAGCAGATGCCATTTCCTCAGTCGTTACGGGGTCTTTCTTTTTATAGAACATGGTAGGTACTTCCTTTTTTACAATATCATAAATGGCCTCTCGCAAAGACCCAAAGTTTCGTGCAGGAATACATAAACCATACTATGGGATATTAATATTAGATGATGATTTCCAGCTTTCAATTCTACTACCTATTTCAGCTGAATCATTATACTTTTTTTTCTTGTTTAGAAAGACTTCCCACGGTATTACCTTTGAGTTACTATAAGCAAGCGTAACAAATCCCAAAGACTTCCACCGTTATGAGCCAAGTTCTTCGAATAACGCTTGCGCGCTATAAGGGCCAATTGTTAATTAGCCGGGGCTTCCTCTTCGAGTCTTGTCATTATCTCAAACTCGATGACAGAGCTTTACAAGCTATCTGCCCTTCTTCACTCACGCGATATTGCTGGGTCAGGCTTTCGCCCATTGCCCAAGATTCCCCACTGCTGCCTCCCGTAGGAGTCTGGGCCGTGTCTCAGTCCCAGTGTGGCTGATCATCCGAAAAGACCAGCTAAGCATCATAGGCTTGGTGGGCTTTTACCCCCCAACTACCGTAATACTACGCGGGCTCATCAAATAGCGCATTCTAGCTTTCTAAGGCTTGAAAAAGCTACTTATATAGAGGATTTAGATTGTAATTTCCTCTACTACTTGGCAGATTCCCACGCGTTGCGCACCCGTTCGCCACTTTGTGAACTTTTTTGTTACAACGTTTGACTTGCATGTGTTAAGCATATCGCTAGCGTTCATTCTGAGCCAGGATCAAACTCATGTATTGGATTCAGTTTAGTGCTTTCTTTCGTTAGCACTTTTTTTTTATTGATAATTTAAAGAAATATTTATATAATTTGATTTCAAAAGTCATTGCGTAAAGTTGATAAAAAAGGCACCCCTAAGTATCGTAAGCAAAGCTTTCGTGGTGCGAAGCACGCGATAAGGTTTCGCAGAAAGTTTGAGCATGCTTCGCAAGTCTCCATAACAAGTCTCTGTCGCAAGCAAAGTTGTAACGAGGCTCCTTCAGGCAGGAGTGCATTTAGCAAGCAAAGCTTGCTAAATGCTCCGCGCCTCGCCTTTATGTGCGCAACCTTTGCATTCCCCGTCTAGCACCGCTTGTTAAGTTGCTTGTAGGCGGGGCGAAAGAGTTTTACGCTCGTTGATGAGGCGCGAAGCCTTCGCGAGCTTCGCTCGCTCTTGCCTGCGGCTGATTTGCTTCGCTTACGCTCGCACCGAAGGTTCGCTAGAACGAGCGAGCTAAGAAAAAAGCTCGCGATGGCGCAAAGCGTGCGAGCGCAAGCTTTGCAAACCCGCGAAGTGTGCTTTGCTTGCGAAGAAAAAAGCAAGCGAAGCAAACCACGGTTGGACGAGCGCAAGCGAAGCAAACCACGGTTGGACGAGCGCAAGCGAAGCAAACCACGGTTGGACGAGCGCAAGCGAAGCAAACCACGAAGTGTGCGAGCGAGCGAAGCTCGCGAAGGCGCCATCGCTTGTTCCTTCGGAACCTCGTTCTAGCGAATAACTTCACAAAAACTATTGATTGAATGCTGCGCACCCGCTTCACGCCATTGCTTCCCACCAGTAGTTGTATTGGTACAGAGTTATACGAAATTTGTATGATTTTTACATCATTTATTTTATGGCAAGATTTGACTATGCTTCTAATAAGGCTCGTCAGAGTGACAGTGGTACTTACAAGTATATTTTCATTCTGATCACATATCTTTTCAGAAAGAAAGAATAAGATAAAGTTTATTTAATTTTCATCTTTATTTAATTTTCATTCTTGTTATTTGAAATATTCTTTTTTATTTCATAAATTACTTGTTACACTGAAGCTTGGTGAAGTATTGCTAAGAATTGAATTACAACAGAGATTTTAGGTTGTTGCCTAACGGCCCTATGCCAATAAATTAGACTAGATTCACTGAGCTAAATATTTATCTAAGTTCACTTCAAAGAAAAAAGCAGCAAGTATCAATATTACAGTACAGTCTTTGACATTTTTGTAGTAACAAGAAAAGTTTTTGCTTTATTGGTAAACTTCATATAACTTTGTTAACGCAACATAACTTTTTTGTACAATTTTGAAAAATTTGGCCTAAAATTCTTTTTTAGCTAGGTCCGCAGGTGCGAAGCAAATATGACATTTTTTAAGTCAACTACAGTCAAGTATGTTAAAAAGAATTGACGGTCCGCAGGATTGCTTTTTAGATCATTTGCAAGTTCTTCGCACAAAAAAATGATACGCACAATGCATGCCAGCTGTATTCTGTTCTGCAAAAGCGCATTATATTATTATTTTGTTCTGCGAAAGCGCATTATATTATTATGTGCATGCAAGTCTTTCGCATCTTTCGCAAGTATGTCTTTCCCATAGAATAATGCATGCAAGCAAGCTTATGTCTTCCGCACGCACAGGTCCGCGAATTAAATTATTCGAACCTATCTAATGTTTCCGTCAGGTTCCGCAGGTTCCGTTTATGGTTGTGCAAAAAGCCCCAAAACGAGCGCGAGGGCCTAGCCCCGCAAAAAGAAAATACGTAAAAACACAGCTTGCAAAATATATATTATGCGCGACCATAATGCCCCGTCTGCGGTGCGAGCTGGCGTCATTATTCTTTGTTTTCGTTAGAACTTCGGCGCGAGCGCAAGCGAAGCCAATCACGCCTTCGGCAGCCTAATCTAATAATGTACCCGACGAAGGCGCTGAAGTCCTAACGAACTTCCCTTAGCGCGAAACACCCGTAAGGAAAGCCTCGCCGTTGCGAGGCTTTCTCGCACCGAGGGCGCGAACCGTGCGAGCCTTAGGACAGGACACCAAAGGAGCGCCTTCGGTGCGAGAAATTGGCACCTAAAGAACATAAAGCTGCTTCGCTTGCTTTGCAAGCGAAGGCACAAAGGTTTTTGTTTTTTTTTCTTTAGTCGCCAAAGGCAAGTAAAGGAGCACCTTCGGTGCCCTAAACGGCAACTGCGGAATCCGTCAGGCAAGAAAACGAGCTTGCTTTGCAAGCGAAGGCGCGTTAGAAATTCGCTTGCGCTTAGTTTGCGCGTGCTTCGCACGAGCAAACTAAGCACCTAAAGGCGGCGGAAACTAATGCGCCGAAGAACTTTGCAAGCGAAGGTCCGTGCTGCGCACCGTGCCGCGCACCGAAGGAAGTTGCTTTGCAAGCTTTCGCCTACCCGAATAACTTGCGAAGGACTTGCAAGTAGTTGTTGGTCTCCTATTGAAATGAAAATTAAATTAATTATGCGCTTGCGACGGAGACTTGCATCATTAAATTGGTTTTCATTTCAATAGGAGCTTGCCTGCATGATCACGCACGCGAGCCATTTGAAAACTCCGCGAACGAAAGACATTTCAAAAGCTTGCATTATTACACGAACACACAGACTTGCTTTGCAAGCGAAAGATTTTCGCAGAAAAGTGAGCAAGCTACAAAGTAGGCAAGTATAGAAAATTGTAGGTATAGAAAATTCTCTTCTCTTTTTTATCCTTAGATTAAATAAAGACAAAAAAAGCGGCCAGTGAAACTGGCCGCGGTATAATAAATTTAATTGATAAATGCGTTTTTAAGTGTTAGCTACAGAATCCCCGAAGAACTCTATTTTTCACCATTGCCGCGTGATTTTACGAACGTTTCCCCTATCTTAGCGAATCCATGAAGGATGCCCGTAGCCACCGCTTCTTCCATCCTTTGAGTCAAAGGCAGGCCAACCTCTGCTCTCGCTTGACGACGAAGCTCCGAGAGATCCGCCATAGTATTGCGCCAATCAGAAGAGCTCTGCGCACTCTTGTGAAGCTCGTTAAATGTTTTATTAACTCTTTCGTCGGTATGACTTTGTTCAAAGGCCCGAATAAATGGATATGCAAGAGAAAAACTCAAATGAATTCGAATTTTATTAAAAATGGAATTATCACAAAATTCTTTTAAAAACTCGACGCCAAATTCTTGTTTTAAAAAATCATAAAATTCTGGGACGAATTTACAAACTAAGTACACAACATATCCTTCGAATAAAAATAAGTAATAGAAAATTAAAAGCCAAGGAAAATCTTTTTCTGCCAACCCATATGAAGGGATTAAAATAAGTGAGAAACAATCTGACCCACAGAAGTCTTCATGAAAAAAAAATAAAGCAGGCAGTAAGAAAGAAAGAAAATTTAAAAGAAAGAACCTCTACTTCCCACAACACCATGAGAATAGCGCGCCAAGGGCTTTCCCAAAACAGCACAGAAGCGGTTTTTATGCCTAAAGAAAACTTATTAAGTATAGTTAAGAACGTTTTCTTAAAAAGTTGAAATTGAAATCGAGCAACATAGTTATCTTGCATCTTTTTTTTTATTGGTTCGCTAAAACAACGAAATTGAGAAAAGCAAAAT